CTCCTCCTCCTCCTCCTCCCCCCCCTCCCCCCGAGTCGACACTTTTAATTAATTCGACGGCCCTTTCGCTAATTACGGCGGAAGAAAAAGCGGAAGCGAGACGCGCGATAAATTTAAGGTTAAACAGGGTGCTTTCGGTTTTCCATTATTCCCTCGATTACGCGGCGTATTTTAGCCGTTCAAAGAAAGCTCATCCGGGACGCGTTATCCCCTGCCCGGCTGCGGAGCAGAGATTCCCCTCGATCGGAGAATTAAAGCGCAGATTGGCCGTGCTCTCGTTCCCTGGAAAATTCTCAAATTTCGCCCCGGTCTGCCACGATAAACGCTCAATTACGGGAATAAAGTACGTAACCCCAACGTGGACCGAAATTGAACGTTAAATCGATTTCAGCAGACCTTCTCCATCCGTCGCGACCATCTCGGCACGCGGAGTCTTAATTACCGGGATATTAAAACATTCGCGGATAGAGGCACGAGCCGATCGTTTTACCGACGAAAGAGATAATCGCTGTGCTCGTCGATGACGAATCGCAGCAGGCGAGCTTGGCCTTCCTCGAACGATTCCCGCTGCCGCGAAACTCTGCATTTCGTCGATCCACGGCGTGCAATTACTCATTATGTATATAAACAGCGGCCGTGTTCTCGCATGGCACGACGACCGGTTAATTTGGTAGAGGTTTGCGGTGTTGCGGTCGGTGCGCGTGGTAGCGAGCCCTCTCTCGCCGCGTGTGCTCTGGATCGAGCCCTCGAGCCCGATCTTTCGGCTTCGCGACGCCCGACTCGCGCCGCGTCGCCTCTTAGTGCTCTGATCGCCTCCACCGTGGACGGATTCGCGACTTCTTCTTCGCCGTTTCCTCGCCACTCCTTCGTCTCGGTGCTGCGACCCCGATGGCACTCGAGCTGGTGGCCAGCTGAAGCGGAATTTCGAGGAATTTCGTGGAATTTCGGAGAAATTCTCCGAGACGGACGGCTGATCGCCCGAAGAGGAATTAAAGGGGGAAAATCGTCGCGGAAACGTTGACACGAGCTTTCCGTCGGAGAAAGCCTGACCGAGTGTCTCGGTCGAGTTCGTGCTCGTCCATCGAAAGGACGAGCGGGCAGAAGGCGAAGGGAGGAAAGGAAAGCAGGGAAAAGGAGAGGAAAGGAGAGGAAAAGGGGTTGCGTGGTGCGGCATGGTACACTACGGATGCGCGAAAACCGACAGCGGTGGAGTCGAGTGCTTCGTCGAGTTCAGTGAGACCCCACGTTGCTCGATAGCATTTTCTCGTTGCCATTGTAAAGCTACCGCGAAATAAAAGGAGGGGACGAAAGCCGTAACAACGGAGGAAAAAAAGGACTTTGTTTCCCGCCCTGCCTTTTATTTCTATCGCGCAAAGACGAAAGCAAAGGATAACGCGACGAAGCGTCGATTCTCCTGCTACGTCGCGACGATTAAAACCGAGAATGGGTTTCCCCGTTATCGATACATCGACCGAACGATTATATCTGCAGCTCGCAGACCGTCGCTACGTTGAAATAAAAGATACCCCTCGCGAGTGATGCACGCTCGATAGATTCGGGATATGAATAATTTCAAGCGAGTAACGTCACGCGTTGCGCGATTCCGAAGTACACGCGATTTTCGGCACTGCGCGAGTCAATTCGTCGGCGATCGTATTTTTAACGCGGGATACTTTGCGCTACACCGGCCGGCTTTCGTCTCCCTGACGAAGGCATATCTCGTTCGTCGATAACGTTTTAACGAATAACACACCCGTCTCGAGCGTATCGCGCCGCGTCTCCGTCCCGACGTTGTCCTTAGCGAAGTTGAACGGGTTAAACGGGTAAGCTCAGCGATATTCGATGCCAAGATTGCCAGCGCGGTAATAGGGAGCGCGCGGAGCGAGGACGGAATCGCGGTGAATTTTGAAGAGCTTTCAAGAAAAGCGGAGAAACGCGGGGCGGCGCGATGAAATTAATGAGAAAGCCCGCGTGGCCGGGGAAGGGGGACGAATTACTTTTCTGGCAGCCGTTCCATTTCACGCGCAATTTACCGTGGACGATCCGCGCGCGCTAGAGAGGCCTTTGCATGATTGCTTTTGCGCCCGGTATCACCGAAAAGGGACACGCGCGCGGCTAACGGAAGGAAATCGTCGAGCGTATAACCAATGACAAATCACCCCCATCGAACGTCCATTAATTACTCGACCGAATCGCCGAGCGTTTTCCGTCTGTTCGGAAAGCGATTCCCGCTCGTGGTTCCGCTCGCGATTCCTTCCGTGCTTCACCGCGTGTGTCCCGCCTTCGCCGTTTCATCCCTCCAACCGTTTTCCTTCCCTCTGCTCTGTGTGTTTGTCGGGAAACAGAAGAAACCACGTTGCCCTGCGCTGAGATGGTGGACGGAAGCAAGGTCGGCGCGATGACGAGATTCGTCGAGCTGCTCGCGACTATAGGGTCGTTCTTGCTGGTGCTCGTTACGCTACCCTTCTCGCTGTGCTTCACGTTCAAGGTCGTGCAAGAATACGAAAGAGCCGTTGTATTCAGAATGGGGCGACTGAAAGCCGGGGCTTACGGACCAGGTAAACGCGATGCAATTTCATTCCGTAACCGGTTCGCCGTGCTCGTGTCTCGAGCGAGGAGGACGCGCAGCGTTGCGCGAATTAATCGAAATTTTCCTTTTTCTCTTTTTTTCGTGCTCGACTACCGAGAGATTATCATCGGAGAGATGGCTGTATATACATCGCGACGTCGCGAAATATTTATTTGCACGATATTTCCAGCGAGTATCGGGTACACGGTACAAGTGCAGCGTGCAAATCGATATTTCCGATACGGGTTTAAGTATCTGCAATTACTCGTCCGAGCCGGAAATCGAATCAAAACATATTGACGGTCGTTCCCGGGAATACGGCGAACAGGGAAACAATTACGTTCGATTGGACGAAAAGCGGAAGATAAATATTTGTTAACCAAGCAAGGGTTGTCGCGTGACAGGGACATTTTTCGTGATGCCCTGCGTGGACAATTGCGTGCGCGTTGACCTGAGGACCGTGTCGTTCGACGTTCCGCCGCAGGAAGTTCTCACCAAGGACTCCGTCACCGTCAGCGTCGACGCGGTCGTTTATTATCGCATAAAGGAGCCATTGAACGCTGTCATCAAGATAGCCAATTACAGGTACGTGGAACGGCTCAGCCATATCGAATCGCTGATCCAACTAAATCATGCCTAGGAACACTGCAAGCTTCGGAGTTAGCTATTAATTAAGCAAATCACGCACGCGCTGCAGCGCCGATCTCGTCGGAGTCATGCTCGATTTCCCCGCGAGCGTTCGAGGAAAATTCCGCGTGATTCTCGGCGCGTAACCGGCTAACCTTGTACAACGTTGAGTAACGCGTGCCACCCCTGCACCGTAACCGTATAAAATTTTTTAATTGCGGTAATACCGCGGCCGTGTTTTCCTTCTAACCTCGCGGAATGAACGCGGCACGCAGCAAGCGTGCTAATGTGTCGCGAGAGAGCCGGAGCGGGAAGCGTCCGAGGAAATGTGCGCCATCGTAAAAGAGATTTCATCCGCGTAATGCAAATGGCTGGCGAAAGGACCAGCGACAGCTCGTTGAAAGACTCGTAACATTTAGTTTCCCGCTCTCTCTCTCTCTCTCTCTCTCTCTCTCTCTCTCTCTCTCTCTCTCTCTCTATTCGTCTCTCTCGCTTACTCTCTTCACTCGTATCGCGAAATTCAAAGGTAGAATGAGAAAGGAAGAATGTGATCGTATTTTGGTCGAGTAGCGACGGGGAAAAAATAACGAGAAGAGGTGGTGGGAAGGAAAAAAGAGAAATGTAAAGCGACAGAAATTACCGGCCACGATTTTTCCACGGTTTGAACGAGATGCGAAAAATGATACATCGCGATGGGACGCGACGCGACGTGACACGACCCGACGCGACATGCTGCAGCAATTTGTTGGGTGACGCCGTCGCAGCGAATTGAAAGTTCGTTTGTCGACCGGTTGCGCCCGAATTTCGCCTGAAATTCGCCGAAAATTATTTATTAATTTGGCCACCGGCGTAGCGTGCTCGCGCAGTTAACCTTTGCGAGTAATATCCGGGATCGATGCGCCCGTCCAGGTGTCTCCTCGAGATGAGAACGGAAAAGAGCGCGTTTGTCTTTGAATTAAACACGGGATCGAGCGTAAGTGCCGAAATTCTCGAGACACGGCAAATTAATTGGGATTCCTTGGGCGGCCGGGTTAATTAACGCGGACACCATTTTCTGAAATTTTAATTAGCATCACGGGACCCGTACAGTTCCGAGGAACGAGACCGTCTGGAGAGGGAATCACCGATGCCGGAGAAAAATGCGAGAGACGGCTCCTCGAGGAATTACGAGAGCATGACAAAATTACTTGGATAATTTGCGCCACGCGGAGAGCCTGATTAATTGCGTAAAAGTTGCGTCGGCTCGCGTAATTTCCCTGTCTCGCGTTCGATAATTTCAAACAGAAGTTTCCACTGTTTCCACGATGAGATGCGTTTCCAACCTGGGTAACGAGTATTTCCTGCAACGACAAATTATTGGGAAAAAAAGAGGAAAAAAGGTCGGGGAAAAATATTAAGGAGACGAGTCAGCCGGTTACTAATGGCAACCAGGAGACGTCAGAGCAAAGGCAGAAATTGGTAGAAAGATAGGATTTACCGTTCCTCCGAGTGAGAACCGACTGACCAACGTCCTGTCCCCGTACGCGCGTTTTTAAACCGCACTCGTGACAGCTTCCGCGAAGCGGCCGACGTTTAATTAACTAGAGCACGCCAGACCGATGTTCAATTATGGAAAAGACGACGGCGTAATTGTACGCGTATTCATGCTGGCCTGACACGAAATTTGACAAAACCCTCGGCAGTACTGATGATGACGTTAACGTACTATTCTTTCTTCTTCTCTTTTTCCCTTTGTCCACCGCCGAACGAGAAATTAGTTCCCCTTTATTCAATATCTCTACTACCCCGAATTGAAATCTCGACGTTTATCTATATTTCGTACAACCTGATTAAAGCGAGTTCGCGGCGTTTCAGTCACTCTACTCGATTACTGGCTGCCAGTACGCTCAGGACGGTGCTTGGAACGAGGAACTTAGCCGAGATCCTCTCGGAACGCGAAACCATCTCCCACACCATGCAAGCTTCTCTCGACGAAGCTACGGAGCCCTGGGGTGTCAAGGTCGAACGCGTGGAAATGTGAGTATGCTCCATACCATCGTTGATCGAAACGCGATCCGCCAAATTTTCTGTTCAAACGCTTCTAAAAACACACCGAGAAACGAAACATCCGCTTTAAGGAATATCCCAACATTGCCGACACCGGCGACGCGTAAAACGCGAGTCGATGGATCGTTGGTCGGGGCGAAATCGATAAGTTCGTTAAAACGGAAGCTGAGACGAGTTCTCGAGCAGACGAGGCCGTTCGTCACTGGTGCAACATCCGATTGCTCAACGATCCTGCACGGGATTCGCGTTTTCGTTCGAAGAAAGAAGCTTCTCCGCGCGTTTCACCGACCGTAGACGATGGCCGGCTGAAAAATTCCTGTCTGCTAAATACAATCGAAAGTCACTGGCCGTGAAGAGGTACGGTCTGCCTATCGATCATCGCGGAACCAGCCAACGGTTGATGTATAAGCTCACGATAAATATCATCTCGCGTGGAACAGAGCTTACAGTCGGCGCGATTACGCGAGCTTTCTATCGAGCTTGCTGGCAAGAATCTAGGATGAAATACAGCCGTGATCGAGACCCGCATCGACAGCTTCCGCGGGATCATTCGGCTTCTACTGGAATGAACACGGTATCGTTGGAATTTCGAATTTCATCCCATTCCGCGAGGTAATTGCAACTCCCCCCCACCGTCGTGTTTCAATTAAGCAAGGGCTCGAGCGAGCTGAACAGGTGCTCGTAAACCAAAATTAATTCCGCATTAAGTACCGTTTCGATAAAACCAAGTGGAACCCAGCATCGTCTTGTTCGATTCGCGCGACGCTTGGCAAGACGAAGATGATGGGAAAATTTGCCGGGGAACGTTTCGAATACGATAGACGGTAATGGAACGGGTTGCAGAAGTTTACACGTGTACACAATGCAGTAGTCTGAACTGTAAACTCATTCCCATTCGAGGGTAACAAAGGATAAAATTGGTTGTTTGAATTGAAAGGAATAATTCCGGCTGCACTTGCGCGCGGTCGCGTTTCTTTGAACCAACGGGCCTGGGAACGTCGAGATGCTGGAGAATACGTAACACGAGAAACGAGAAGCTCTCTGGTAGACCGTGATAACTCGATGGCACTCGAGGCCGTGCATGCAAGTACAGTAGTTAAATACGTCCCGGTATCGTCACAAAGCCGAAACCGGGCTTCCTTTTAAGAAGGCAACCGCGAAGCTACCCCGAGACACCGGCCGCCTCGATCGAAATGGGAAGTCGTTGCTTTAAAAGAACCACGGAGCTCGAGATCTTGCGAAGACCACGTCCCAACTAGAGAGGAAAATGCAAATCGTTCCATCGTGAAATATCTGTATCGTAATTAAAATTCTTTTACGAAACGAGATCATAGAGGGTACGTACTGGATACTCGGGCAAGGGGTTGAAACGATTTCCATTCGAAGTAAATAGGTCGAGCGAGAGGAATAAACGATCGAAAGAAATGAAATATCAGCTGTGGAGAAACGTGAAAATCTGGAAGCACGCAAAGTCGTTGGAATTACGTGGAATGGTAGAATATAGATAGGGTAGATAATGGCTAGCAGCTGAACCCATAGCATTAGCTGATGATCATTGTGCACCCCACCCACGCCTCCGATCCGTTCCGATAATGATTTCAATTAGATCGGTCTAATCCGAGGTGAAATCAGCAAATCAACTGCCGAGGATTACCCGAATAGTCAAGAACGTTACCTATTCCATTAATGATTACATTTTTATATCGCAATAAACGATGACTTTTTCATTTTTCCGCGTTATAAATTCATCGATTAATGCTAATATCGGCATTCGATATTCGATATCCAATATCAATTATTATTATCGGTACGTTTAATAATTTATAGATTCCTTGCGAGTTAGAAATACGTACAATTATGTATTATGACATTAATATGCGAAATTAGGATAATCGTGCAATATCGCAGAATTATCAGACGTAGAAAATAGCAGAATCGATATTTTAACCATTTTCAACCCTCGGATTCGCGTGTTAAAGGGAAGCTACCCTACGCGAGGAACTTTCCATGCACAGAGGGTGGTGCGTGGGTACGTGAACGCACATAAACGCGGACACTCGAGGGTGGCTGCGATCCCTCGACGACATACCCCAAAAAGGAAGGGCCCTTTAGTCTCGATGCTCGCAACGTCGCGCGTTCCAATAGAAAGACACCGATGTCGCCTATTTCTAAAGATGAAAAAGACTCGAGTGCCTTCTAAAGAGACCCTTTGCGAAGACGCGAAAGGCGCGTGAAGATCCTAGCGACGCGCAAGTGCATTCGCGCTGTTGGGGCTACTTGTTGTTAGGAATAATATTTCTCGGGTCGTTAGATCGCGTATCGAATATCGGATATAAAATTTCCTCTCGATTGCGCGTGTCCGTGCACACCGGGTTTCAGGGTGGTTTGCATGTAGATGGAGAAATTCTTAACGTCATGGCTGCTGGCTGAAACACGAGTTCTAAATGATCGAGAGGAAGAAAGTAACGTTGGACGTCTATTTATACCACTGTCAACTATACCGAATGGCAAAGTGCATTTTGGCAGCGTATACGTCGCATAAAATATCGCGGCGCTCGTATATTTGGGTTAACGTTCGCAACGTATCTTGTTGTTTTAAAAATGACCATCGTCTAGCGAATGGAGAAACGTAAAAAGCAGACGGAGTGCATTTTTATTCCGGTCGAGTGTAACTAGCCCAAGTAAGCCGTGCTTTTTACCCCAGACTTAAAGCCACTCTCGAATGTATGGGGCCGCGGCGAAGAGCGTACGAGCGAGTACGCGAAGCGTAAATCCGCCTATCGGTAGACAAACACCCACGATAATCGGGAAATTTTTGAACCGCCTCTGGCACACGTGTGGCATACGTGACGCCCGCGTGTTCTCGCGTAAATGGGAAACACAGGGCTAAAATTACCACGGCACTAACGAAGGAAAAGTTAACCCCCGCGTTAACTGTCCGCGTGAGTGTAAGCTAACGACTTTAAAACTCGTGGATTTCTCGACGATTTAGTCGATTTTCTGGAAATTTACGCCACCCTCTTCGCGCCTCGCCGGGACTCGATGAGAATTCGATAACCATTCGAACGCCGTTTCGTTCGTTTCGCTGGAGCCCGTTTCCACTTCAAATTCAAAACGACTCTGTTCCCTGTGCTCGACCATACGCTCCGCTCTGAAAGCGGGATCGACAAAGAGGCAACGTAAAACAAAGAATTCTTCTTTATTCCGGCCGTGTCTGTGGAACTACGCCAAGGAACTCGCCCTCTTTGCCGTAACTCGAAACTATTCTCGAATGTGTCCGTTCTTGCACGTTCGCCTAGAATGCCCCATCGCGCGCGAGACCTCTTTCGAGGGTAAAGGTGATAAGGCGACTTAAAACGACGAGACAATTTATTCGAGAGACAGGTCTTGTCGCGCTTGTCGAAACACCACACCGGCGTAGATTGCCCGGTGTAGACAGGTGTAGTAGACAGGTGTAGACAGGTAGATAGGTAGATCGAACGAAAGGTAACGGATGTTCCTGATTTAGAAAGGACGTTAGACTTCCGGTGCAGCTGCAACGAGCGATGGCCACGGAAGCAGAAGCCGCAAGGGAGGCTCGGGCCAAAGTGATTGCAGCGGAAGGAGAAATGCTGGCTTCTCGTGCCCTGAAAGAGGCCAGTGATGTCATTTCCATGAGTCCAGCTGCTCTTCAGGTACGTTCCAGACTGGCTCCTCGAAGAACGTCAAAGATATCTTTGTAATTCCACCACGTTCGCTCTCTCGCTCTCTGTGAGGCGCAGAACCTTCCGTTAATTAGCCTCTACTGCTAAATTAATCCTTTGGGAAACGAATTATTTTGAATTCTCTGCAATGCTACCGCGGTAACCCGTTTACTGTCGCCACAAGGGGGATCAACACCGACACTGAATTCCCGCAAGTCCTCGTCTAACTATCCTATCCATGCAAATACGTCCTTTGACCTGCCCAAAGTGTAAGACACCGACCTGCTACCAAGACTTCTCGTCGTGTCAAGTGGCTGGCCATTAACGAAACGTACGTTTCACGATTCCTCGGTGGCCGATGATCGTGAAATCTCGCAGTAACGGAATAGAAAATTTCGCGCATTTGCTAATACCCCAGATATTAATACAAATGGCTGAGAGTTGACGC